AGCAGATTAAAAGGGGGGGGGAATGCATCCGCAAAAAACCCTGAATAGGATCTCTGTGTCCCTATAAAAATAAAAGATACTTTGAACACTCTACTGCGGGATCCATGCACACCTCTCTGTACTTTGTTTCCAGACGCATTTGCCATTTCAGCCTTTCCTCTGCTTTCTTAAGGGTTCAGTTTGCCAATATCCTGAAGCAGCGTGTTTATTAAGCCCTTCACAATACTGAAAATTCAAACCGGAAGGAGCCTTGGCAGCTTTGACAGCTTCAGGGCTCAATTTTAGTCTATTCCCAGTGACTGCACACAATGAGAATGGACTAAACTGGAGCACATCAACCTGCACCAAAAACTTACAAGCCCCTGATGGGGGCTGAAAAAGGAGTGGGTTATTTATTTATTCTCTTTATTTGTTCAACTTCTATACCACCCATCTGGCTACCAATGCCCTTCTGGGAAGTTGACAACACAATGAAACAAACACCACTTTAAAAATCATTAAACAAAATAATTATACAAAAAACAAAATTAAACATATCAGTCCACATATGTAAAAAGACAATATCAAAATAGCTAAAACTAATTTCAAAAGGCAGGATGGCGGGACAGGTGATATAAGTGCTGAAAAACCATCTGCACTATGATATAATCTCTGGAAAGCCTGTCTACGTAGCTATGTTTTCAAGGGTTGTTTACAAATTCCCATTGAAGGGGCCAGGTCAGTTTCAGGTGGGAGGTTATTCCAAAGGTGTTGGGCAACCGCTGAGAAGGCCTGATTTCTGGTCTTCTCTTTCCAGGCCTCTGTTGGAGCAAGTGCTCTCAACCACCTAGCCTGGGAAGATTGAGTAGGTCGGGCAGATCTCACTAAAATGAGGCGTTCTGCCAAGTATTACGACCCCAAACCATTTAGGGCCTTGTATGTCAGCATACAAGGATGAGGCTGCCCTGGGAGCAAATTGGGGGGAAAAGTCTGCTTTTCATTTGGACACTGGAAAAAAGAATGGGTCAGTTTGCCACAGCAATACACCAAAGTGTATTATCCGGACAGATGCCTGTCCGGATATGTCCTTACTCAGAAGTATATTCCTTGGCAGACAATTATAAATAAGCTTGTGACCTGTATTTATCTTTTAATGGCCAATCACAAAACAACAAATGCTAAATGCAAGATACCTAGGTCAGGAAAGTGCTGTGACAGACAGCTTTCATTGCTTGAGGGAACGTCTCTTCTGAAACCTGCTAAACTTGTTATCTAGTTTGATCCTGAGATTGCTGCAGGTTTGTGTACTGAAGGAGGGAGAATTAGAGTGAAGTCATGTACACATCCAGTAAGAAATAATTTGTTTTGTTTTCATTGGGGCTTCTGCCCAGTTGACACAGACATAGCAGGCTTTCTTTTATATGTTCTGGGCTTGCTGGTCACAAAAAGCAAACCTCAGCATATTCTGCTGAGATTTCTATAATCAGAAAATCTGTCCTTGATTGACTGTTGTTAAGAAATCTGAACTAATTAGGACAAGGCTGTAAATTACTCACAGATGTAGTAGGGCTCTAGATCCTAGGTGTCCAACCTTTGTTACTTGAATGTTTTTGAACTGCAACTCCCAGAAACCCCAGCCAGCACAGTTGGTGGTGAAGGCTTCTGGGAGTTGCAGTCCACAACTCCTGAGTAAGCCAAGGTTGAGAACTAGTGCTCTAGATCAGTGATCCTCAACCTTGGGCCTTCAGACGTTTTTAGATTACAACTCCCAGAAGCCTTCACCACCACCTCAGCTGGCCAGGATTTCTGGGAGTTGAAGTCCAAGAACATCTGGAGGCCCCAGGTTGGGGACCACTGCTCTAGATGACCCAAAACAAAACAAATCAGTAAGCATTTCTGAAGAAAAGTTTTGGAAACTCATTAACAGGCAAAATGTTTTTGTTGGATCATGAGGAAAATTCTGATTGGGAATAAAAATGTTTTACAATTGAGGTTTGTAAATGGATTCTGTATATCCGTAGGGTATTGTTCACCCCAAAGCCATTTGTAGCTTTACTAAGAAAGGGTAAATTTTATTCTATGCAGATATCTAGAATTCTGTATTTTCTGTATTGTTGTTCTTTATTTTTCTTTCCCAAAAATAAATGGAATCAACATATTTTGCTCTGAGCATCTGTAGTTGGTACCTTTGTTTGATCCAGGTCTAGTGATTTGCTCTGGAAACCTTTGGGGGTCTATGTGCATTATGAGCTATTAAGTGGGAACCCAATGTAGCTATCTTACTAAGGCTTTTAAAATAAATGAAATTTAAGGAGTGATCTTGCAACCCCACCACATATGTTTCCATGGTCAAGTTTGGTTCAAACTCAGGTCTCTGGAGTTCTGATTTGTGAAACTGAAAATAACTAGAGATAAATTGTAGGGAATGTATCCTTTTTTATTTTTATTTTTCTTCCTCCTGTTCTAATTCCCAGAAGTCTCCATGTACAAAAATGGCCTTAAAATGCCATGCAGCCTCTGAGGTAGGCCCTGGTCCAAGTGAGTAAAATATAGGTGTCTGTAAGTATGGATCTATAAGATGGAACTCCCAGCGTTTGCCTGGGGAATTCTTAGAGAATTCTAGGAGTTGGAATAAGAATCAAAAGGACAAAAGGCACATCCCTAATAAATTGTTACCTCCAGGAGATACTGTTTACCATTTATTTATTTATTTTGCCAGAAAAAAGGAGAGCAGGGCAGGACCGAGCCCCCCAAAACCATCTTGTCCTGACCACACACTGTCCACCTTGAACTATAGATATCTAAAGTCACTAATGACCAGCATTTTTGTAAGGTCACTTACAATAGTGAGTGAGCAATATTGCTTCAGGTTTCTTAGTTATCCAGAAACATCTTTTTTTCCCTGATGTGTTGATAAGAGTTAAACCACTGACCTCTACAGACAGATTGAATATTGTTTGTTACTTAGTGTCTGGAAGTTAAGTGGTTCTGTGGCCTTTTAGTGTCTTCTTGTTACATGTTATAAAGTCTCATCCAACTTATGGCGACCCTGTGAATAAGCAATCTCCAAAATGTCCTGTGTCAGTATCCCTACTTAGAGCATGTAAACTCAAGCATGTGGCTTCCTTTAGAGCAGGGGTTTTAAACTCAATTTACCTGGGGACCGCTAGAGGCTGAGGCTGAGTGAGGCTGGGTGAGGCTGGGCTGCATCAGATTTTCCGCCAAGCGGAGCAAGAGCTCGAGGAAGCCGCCCAGGAGTTTCCTTAGCCTACAGACAGGTGGGCTGGCTGGTAGGCTGCAATTCTGGATGGAGGGTGCAAGGGGTGCTGTCTTGGGAGAGAGCCGGCGAGCAAGGCAAGGCTTTTTTTTTTACTCTTGACAGCAGAGGATGTGTGGCCGCTTTGGGGGGGCAGGCAAGGTGAGGGCCACAAACTATCATCTGGGGGGGCGCAAATGGCCCCCGGGCCGCATGTTTGAGACCCCTGCTTTAGAGAGTCAATCCATCTCATATTGGTCTTCCTCTTTTCCTGCTGCCTTCAATCTTTTCCAGCATTGTTCTCTTTACAAGATAATCCTGCCTTCTTATGATGTGCCCAAAGTAAGATGCCCTCAGTTTCAACATTTTTGAGTCCAGAGATAGGTCAGACTTGATTTGATCCTGGACCCACTACAGTAGTTTGTTTTTCTGGTAATCCAGGGCATCCATAAAGCTTTCCTTCAGCACCTCATTTCAAACAAATCATCATTCCCTCCCCCCTTGTCATCTTTCTTACTGTCCAGCTTTCATATCTATATATGGTGATCATAAGAGTGCAAATGATATCAGTCTTGATCTCCACTGATACATCCTTCCACTTGAGAATCCTTTCTAAATCATTGGGCACTGAACATTCTGAAATAATAGATTTTTGTGATTAGTGGTTAAAACAAAAATAAAAACATTTGAGACCCATGTATGCCATTTTAGTAGCTGCCATAATATACAAACTGTGGTTAAACTGAGATGTATAGATGACTAGGCTACATTGCTTGAGTGTTGGAAGATTAATTTGAATACATCATGTATGTCCTATCACACTTCTGGTTGATTAATGCTGATGCTGTTTTACTGAACACTGTACAGTGGAGCCTCGCTTAACAAGTGCCTCGCTCAACGATGAATTCGCATAACGATGGCCTTTGCTGGAAATTTTGCCGCCTCACCTAACAATGTTTCCTATGGGGGATTTTCGCATAACGATGTTTGGGACCTTGCTTCACTTAACGATGACAGTTTTAGGTCCCCTGTTTCGCTTAACGTTTTTTTTTGACAGCCCTGTTTTCGCTATTTTAAAAATATTCTAAAATGTTTAAAAATGTTTAAAATGCTTGGAATAGTTAGTGCACCTCATAAAACCTTCGTTAAAGTAATTTGGCTTCATTCTGAGTCTTTTCGAATTTTTGGTGATTTTTTTTCACCATTGAAATGTATTGAATAGGCTCCTATTGGAACGGATTAACCGGTTTTCAATGCATTCCTATGGGAAATGGTGTTTCGCTTAACGATGTTTTCACATAACGATGTTTTTAATGGAACCAATTAACATCGTTATGCGAGGCACCACTATATTTTGTTTTCCTTTTGTTAATTTAGTGGTTTTAGTTGTGCTTTTGTTTGACAATGATGGTTCAAAATCTCATTTGTATATCATTTTGAGTACACTTATGATGAAATTGTGATTGTCAGGTTTTATAAGTGTATAAAATAAAGCTTCCAAGTAAACCTGTTAGGGCTCGTTAATTGATTGTGATGGTATGGAACTTTAAAACTTTATAGTTAACCAGATTTCTTTACATTTTTCTGAAACTGGGATTTCTGCCTACGTTTTCATTTGACTGGAAATCCTATTATGTATGTGACATTGTGGCCATATAAGCTATGTACTGTTTGTTCTTTGGTTTACTATATTTAAAAATGGAAGGCAGCTTGACAGATACTGAACTTGAGAATGTTGTATAATGGAATATTTGTTCTCTTTAAGGTTGCTGAAATCAGTCATAGTGATACAAACATCTTGTCTGGAGACCCAAAGAACAAAGATAGCAGTCATTCATTACCCAATGAAATAAAACTAAATTCTCAACCAAACGATAATGTAGATACCAAAGAAAAAAATAATCTAGCAGAAGATGAAGATGATGCTGAGGGAGATTCATTTTTTGATGATCCTATACCAAAACCAGAACGACCTTACAGCTGGTAAGTTAAATATACTTCTGACATAAATATTTCTTTATACTATAGATCTCTCCAAAATTTCAAACTGAAAGCAGAAATAATTGGAAAATATTTTCAAAACTTGGAAAATAACTCTCCTTTTTAAAATAAAACTCAAAAATAGCTGTCTGTCTGTCTGTCTGTCTGTCTGTCTCTATCGATCGATGGATCGATCGATCGATCGATCGATCGTTTAAATACTGCCTCAATGCTAGAGCACTTTTTGGGCGGGTTTACAACACCATTATGCAAATAACACTTTGCCCCTCAGGGAGTTGGGTACTCAAATTACCAACCTCAGAAGAATGGCTGGCAGAGTCAACATTAAGCCAGCTATCTGAACCCATCAGGATCAAACTCAGGTTGTGAGCAGAGGATTGACTGGAGTTCTGCAGTTTAACCATTGTGCAATGGGGCTTCCTATCTGTATCTTTATTTATGTAGGTACATTTGATCATAATCAAGCAATAAAGGTTTTGTGTTTCTGTAAAGGATGATAATGCTGGAAAACCAGGTTTTCAATTCAATGTACTACATTTTGTAAATATAGCACAGCATCAAAAAAGTCTTTCTAATACAGTGGCTTTGTGTATCATCCAGTTAAGCTGTCAACATTTGATATTTTGTTTCTTTAAGCATGTTAGAATAATTATGGGAGGTATAGAAAATTGCTCTGAGACTGCCCTAAAAGTATAGTGCTTTAAAATTTGTGGCATGAAAACATTGTAAGATAACTGAGAACATAACAATTCTTTGGCAATCACCTGTTTTGTTTTGCTTTCTAATATATAAACAAGAGATAAGAACATAAGAAACACATAGCAGCTGCAAATAATTGTTTTGAAAGGGGTGATGTGGATATGTTTTCATAGACACTTTAAAGTTTTAGATGCTGGGCAGTGACAGATTTGATTGATTGATTGATTGGATTTCTATCCCACCCATCTAGACCAAAGGTCTACTCTGGGCGGTTTACAAATTTAAAAACAATAAAACCAAAAAACATATAGATCCAAGGTGGCGAAAGTATAAGACATTAAAATATGGGAAAGGCTGCCCAAATAGCCAAGTTTTAAGTTTATTCCTGAAAACACGCTCTGCCAGATATCAAGGTCCTAAACCATTTTGGGCTTTATATGTAAGACCTTTGAAATCAACGTGGAAATGAATGGGCAGCCAATGCAAGGTAGCCAGAGTGGGGGACAAAGTGAACGACCGCAGCCAAACAAGTAGCAGATAACTACTGCTTCCTTGCAGGTTAGAAAAACAAAATTTAGAATATAAATAAATCATGTTTCTCACACTCTCATCAGAAGAATCCCACTCCCAAGGAACTCTCTTACATTGTGTTGAAGGATGTATCTATTCCAAAACCTCATGTTTTAGAAACAGCCTCCAACACAATGTAAGAAAGTTATTTGAGACTGAGAAAGACAGTGTATATACTCAAGATATTACGTATCCTAAAGGGTCTTTTATATTATAAGTTAACCCAATTTATAGGTACAGTATGCTCACCTTCGAGAAAAGGAATGGAGCTAACCAGATGATGGCTACTAGAGACCATTTTCTAGCAGTGGTTCCCAAGCATGGTTCCCAGATGTTCTTGGATTACAACTTTCAGAAATCCTAGCCAGCACACTTGGCAGTGATGGCTTCTGGAAGTTTTAGTCTGGTAACATCTGGGGACCCAAGGCAGGGAACTACTGTTCTACAGGTTCAAGGAATAGGTCTCCCTGTACATGATTGCTCACTCATACAGCTTTCTTCTGAATTATCAGTGATGATCTTTTGCAGGAGCTGAAGAATCTCACTCTATTTGAAGACAGGCAGAAATTTTGTAAGAAGCCTGTATTGCCATTTCTAGTGGTAGAGTCAACTGCTCATTATTCGGTTGATGTCATTAGTACCTATTGTTGTCTTAGTGTACAAACTATATAGCCCTTGTTTCTGTTTTGCTGGATAAAGTACCTGAATGAAAGTATGTAAAAATGACTTCATCTCCCATGACCTTTTTATTAAAGGAAAAATGACTCCAGTAAAGAAGGAAATGTTGCATCTCTTTCTGATGCACCGCCCTTAAAGAGTGGCCTGGGTTCTTTGACTGGAGCACCCCTACTGAAGGAAACTGACAGTAAGTGTAATGTGTTGATTCCCTTGGTATTAGGAAAAGAGTGAGAATTTGCACTGTTGTTATTACTTGTAGCCACATTGCTTCCAAGTTACAGAACCTTATGAATTAATGACATGCACAAGGTCCTGTGATTAACATCCTTGCCCATGTCTTGCAAACTAAAGTCTGTGTCCTTTCTTTATTGAGTTAGTCCATTTCATGTTAAGTCTTCCTCCTTTCCTATTCCTTTCCCTTACATTATTGTCTTTTCCTGTGAATTTAAAGTTTGCAGTTCCATGCTGTAATGATTATTATTGTGATTTTGCACTTTAATAACTTTTTTTAGTTCCAGCAGAGGCAATAATTTAATCTATAAAGAATTTCAGTCATTAAAAAAAAAGGAAGAGAATAAATGCCCAGTTGGCTATGACAGAGGCACAGGATTATAGTGCTTTCTGCTCACACAGAACTTTTCAGTGCAATCTTTGACAACAAACTAACATTAGGCTTTTAGATTTATTATCTCTTTGATATCTTATCTGATTAAGAAGCCTTTAAAATGTTGGTGTTGTATGAACCTAGTGGCCATTGCTCGACTTACTCATTGTTGATGCAAACTCAATTATGGAAGATGGTGGTGGATTCTAGATTTGGGTCCAGAGATCTAGGCAAGTATTTCTTCTGCAGAAGATAGCATACAGCACTTTTCATTGTCATATCTAGTCTTAAGAATTGTTCAGATTAAAGATGTTGGTTCTGTGTGTAGTTGAAGTGTAGCCTTTCCAGGAATTCATATACCTCACCATTTGGTCTGACTCTTGCAGCATATTAACAGCTATTCTCTTGTTAAATCTGCCATTTTTTGTTAGAAAAATGCCACAAAGGTTTGTTTTTATTATCAAGTAATATATGTTTCTGGTGGGTCTCTTTAATTAAAAATTGAATTTCAAGTCTTCTAATGTTCCTTTTAATTACAAATAGGGGAAGAAGATGAGTATGCTGATGATTTCAACAGGTAAGAATAAAATACATTCCTACAATGCTGTATTTTAGGAAGGTGTGATGCCTGGTTAAATTTAAATGTACTGTTTATATGGTTTGGTAAGTATGTGATGGGAGGGAGTAAGTGAAAAACATGGAATGTTGGTAAGAATGGTTCTAATTGGCCAGGAGAAACTATGAGTATAGTCTTGATTCTGATATAAAAGAGTTGGATATGAAAAGATTAGAAGAGGATGGCTCTGCAGTTTGAGATGGAGTTGAAATGGAAAGGTGATAGATTGAAGAATTGTCCTGAAATAACTTAAAGCTTAGGAATAGACAGTGTTCTTGTAACACTGTTATTTTACTAAAACCTTATTTATTCTATTCATGATTAGTTTTATTGCGTTCTTACCTGAGGATTGGCTATGTGGAGAATATTATAGGGGTATGAGTGAAGGGACACTTGCATACCCATTGTGGCTATTGAAGTTCAGTGACAATGGAAGGTGATAGACTATTGAAGAGTATTAATAAAAGAATAAATGAAGAGTATTAAAGAAAATTCATACAGTGATTTAAAGAGACCATTATGTAAACAGTCATATGACAAGGCAAAGGAAGGTTGGACATTGGTATCAGAGAAAAGAGATATAAGAGTTTTGTCGTAGCTGTTGAGATATGAATTCATGATTGAGTTGAATTTAGAAGTTGAACATTTGGGAAACTATGATGCCTGGTTATATTTGAACCTTGAGGAGCTATGAGCCTTTTAAATATTAAACAATCCAGTATAAAGTTATAGTAAACAGTCTTCCAAGTGAAATTCAGCACAGAACAGTGGGGTGTTTTCACTCCTATACAGGAAAACAAGTATTGGCTGAAGTTAGAGGCCAAAGAGGCAATTACAACTGACAAGTCTAACAATTTTTGAAGTTATCCACTGTTGTGAGGGAAGAAAATAAAGCTGATTAAAAATGGCAAAGATTTTTTTAAAGGATGCGATCACTGAAAGCTGTAAACAGCAGGGAGTTGAATATGGAAAATTGGTCAAAGAGCTAAATCAAATTATATGGAAGAAACCTGAGGAAGTTTTGAATAAAAATCCTGTTTTTATTTTTGAAGGCTCTGTTAAATTAGAAATTCTGAGAGAACAAAATAGAATGAAGATTAGAGATGGGGGTATTCATATATGAATATCCCCCCCAAAACAGGTGCAGATAACGAGGATCCAGCCCACTGGGGCCAGACCGACCACTCACAATTCCTCTGTTGCCACGAGCTCCACGGTGCCTTCCTAGCTCTCCGCTGCTTGCGATGGATTAGCCGTTCTGCGACCTGGCAGAGAGGCTCGTTGTCCCATGGGGCTTGTGGCAGCAGCGGAATCGTGAGTGGTTGGTCTGGCCCCAGGGCGCTGGACCCTCATTATCTGTACCTATGGGGGGGTATTCGTATAGGAATACCCCTATCTCTAATGAAGATGTTTGAAATGGAAACTAAAGAAAGAGAATTAATAGTAGAAAAGAGTGGGAAGCCAGGAAGAGAGAATTAAGATTCCATGCTGAAATGAAAGAGAGAGTTAAGGCTCTAGGCTGAAGGCAGGGAAAGGGAATTAAGGATTTATGATGAATTTAAAGAGAGAGAATATCAGTGGGAGATGGGGAGATTAAAATTGGAACAGGTCAGGATTCAAAATGAGAAACGGAGGAAGACAGAATATGAAGTTCTTACAAAGAGGAAAAAATAATCTCCAAAGATTTTAATTCCTATCTGTCTGGTGAGGATCCTAATTTATTTTTGACCAATTTTGAAAAGACTGCTCTAGGATTGGATATTTCTGAATCAGAATATACGAAATTTCTCCCTAGCCTTATAAAAGTGAAATTAGTCCAAGTTTACAACAACCTTCCTTCTAATGTTCTTATTATCTATGAAACTTTTAAAGAAGCTCCTTTTCAGATGTTCAGACCAGGACCTGAGCATTTCAGGAAGAAATTCTTGTTTTATCAATTTCAGCAGGGAAAGTCAGGGCAATTTAAAAATAAGCAGTTATGATCCCCATAGCAGAGCTCAGTAACTAAAGAAGAGACCTTGAAGCAATGCTATATAAAACAGTTTATAGTAAATGCATAGACAAGAAGTATTTGTAATGTCATAAATGGGGTTGTGCAAAATATTCTTGTGAGGAAAATTTACAAAGAAATCCCAGTATCTCAGGAAAAATTGTGAAAATCGTGGAAGAGGTTTCTGAGGAGGTTCAAATGTGTTGAGTTGAAGTCATAAAAACCAGAAATTAGAGACTGATTTCCATGGGCATGCTATCTTAAATGATGATGATAGTCATCATCATCATCATAGAACTGCAGGGCTGGAAGGGACTCCGTGGATCGGGTCCAACCCCTGTCAAGGAGGCACAGTGGGGAATCGAACTCTGACTCTGCATTGAGATGCTTAAACCATTGAGCTACCCAGCAGTTTTCATAAAACTCATAAAATGACTATGCTATCTTAAATGATAAAAGAGTTTTGGCATTTGTAGACACTAGAGTAGCAATATGACACTAATGTACAGTAACTTTTGTGAGAAAGGCAATAACTGATCCCTCAAAATTAGACTAAATAAAACTGTGGCCCTAAAGGGAATAAATAGGAGGCCAACTAAGACTTCCTTAGCAAAAGTTAAACTGGGGTGAAAAGAAGAAAAAACAAGTCAAACACTTACCTTCAATGTCCCCTCCAAGCTGTGTGGCCATGCAGTGCTGGATCGGGATTGCCCATTTGCTTCTGGTGACAGCCAGAACTCTGTGTGCACTGGGTGGGGCTTCCATGCAGGACTATGGAAAATTCGAGGGAATGTTAATTTTCTGAGTTTACTATACAGCTGCAAATACACACATTGCTTTAAAAAGCTATTCCAAATAATTACCCATAGCATAAGAATATTGCTTTTACCATATTTCTGAAAGATCTGCTGTTTTATTAATTTCTTGATATTCTAGTATTTTCTTGTATCCTTTGCATTATAATGCATATGTATTATTTAAACAAAGCTAACTGCATTGATCAATTCAGTTCTATGTTGCAATTCAGTACAGTTTTTAAAACTGATGTGAAAATGAAAATCAGTTTGGCTGAAGTACTCATGATTTCAGCCTTTTTTCATACATTCATTCTGCAAGTTAGTTCCTTGTGAAACAGTGAAATTTCTGGTACAGATACCTAGAGTTTAAGGTACAAGTTTATGAACTTTGTTTTATGCAGATGAACTACTTCTGTTTATTGGTCTAGGCAGAAATACTGCTTTATACCTATTTATATTCCCAATAATTATTTCAAAAAGAAATTAAACTTCTAAAATTATTTTGTATCAAGTATCTTTTCTTATATATTCCTGATAATCAAATGTAATCTTTGAGGCTTAAGATAGAATTCTGTTGGATTTTTATGTGCCAGCAAGAAAACTGCTGAATTGCAACTAATTGTGATTAATTAATGACATGCTGGGCATGTAACCGGGCACATGACTGACACGAGACCAGGACCTCATCCATTAGCAGCGGTGACTTCCACAATTCATGTTGCGCGCGCGCACACACACACACACACACACACACACACACACACACACACACACACACAAAACCCAATAGTATTCTGCACACACACACACACACACACAAAATAGTATTCTTATCTTAGGAATTTTTGTCCTATCCATTTCAGCTTATAAGTTGTTATTCACCACAGGGGAACAAAGGTTCATCATTCTGATCTTCTAACTTTTCCCTTTTCTTAGTACCAGTCATCGGTCAGAAAAAAGTGAAGTCAGCATTGGTGAAGAAATAGATGAGATTTCTGTGGACTTAGAAGACTTCAATGCTAGTGATAAAGTATGACGTTTGTATCTTATATGGGTTGGATGTTTATGCACTTTAGTACGTAGTATATCATTACGGAAAGCTTTTGAGGCATAGAATTTCATATGTTTAGAATCTTCCCTATGCTTCTTGCAGGCATATGGTTATTTTGAAAAACTGTAGCTCTAAACAAGACTTGCTCTAACTTTTCCAGGGCTAGTTACAGGGAGGCCTTTGGCAGGAGGGTGGCTTCAGGAATCTGTGTTGTAATGCAACAGTTCCCGAAGTACCATTATTTCAGAACATGGTGAGAAATTTAGATGGTTTCTGTTCGGCCATTAAACACTAATTAGATGAGCAGGAAAATGTGCATTAAAGGAAAGCCCAGAGAATGCATCAGTGTTGGATCCCTGCAGGGATGTATGGAACACTGTGGAACACATATATAACTGGGCCTTACTCAGTTGAGCTTTGAAATTTGTCATGAAATTAACTACTGTTAACAGTGGTAAATACAGCAAGCTCAACATCTACAAGAACTGAACATTTCTGTTAGACTAAATCTTTAGAATACAAATCGATAAAGTTTTGATCTGCATTGCTTGAGTACAAAATCCAGCTGTAAAACAGAAGGCATTTTAAATGAAAATTGTATGTAATTACGTTGTTTCTCATGTTTTGGCATAGGAGAGGGGAATGCCAACCTCTAAAAGCCTCATTCTTTTCCCCAACCACCTTTCTCTATGAAGAAAGTAATGTGTGAATTGGGATGCTCCTACTTTATCTGAATAGGAGATGCCCCTAATGTACATCCATTCATTCTCAGTGCAGGAGCTGTAAGTTATGGCTTCTGATAGATCCTTTATTTCAATTAGTGCAGCACAATGTGATTTATTCACTGTTTTTTGGAGTGTGGAAAAGGGTGAGTGGGGGAATGCAGAGCATAAAATTATCTTCACTGAATTGAGAGAATCATTCAGTTTATATCATTTATCTGAAAAGGGATACAAGGCATTCATGAAAGCCTTCGTGAATTCATTGATACAAGGCAGCTTGTTGTTGTTTAGTTGTTAAGTCATGTCCAACTCTTTGTGACCCCATGAACGAGAGCTCGCCAGGCCCTCCTGTCTTCCACTGCCTCCTGGAATTTGGTCAAATTCATGTTGGTAGCTTTGATGACACTGTCCAACCATCTCGTCCTCTGTTGTTCCCTTCTCCTCTTGCCTTCACACTTTTCCAACATTAGGGTCTTTTCCATGGAGTCTTCTCTGCTCATGAGTTGGCCAAAGTATTGGAGCATCAGCTTCAGGATCTGTCCTTCCAGTGAGCACTCAGGGTTCAATTCCTTCAGAATGGATAGGTTTGTTCTCTTTGAAGTCCAGGCGACTCTCAAGAGTTTCCTCCCGCACCACAATTCAAAAGCATCAATTCTTCAGTGGTCAGTCTTCTTTATGGTCCAGCTCTCACTTCCAGACATCGCTACGGGAAAAACCATCGCTTTGACTATGTGGAATTCTGTCAGCAAGGAGATGTCTCTGCTTTTTAAGATGCTGTCTAGGTTTCTCATTGCTTTCCTCCAAAGAAGGAGGTGTCTTAATTTTGTGGCTGCTGTCACCATCTGCAGTGATCATAGAGCATAAGAAGTAAAATATGTCACTGCCTCCATATCTTCCCCTTCTATTTCCCAGGAGGTGATGGCACCAGTAGCCATGATCTTAGTTTTTTTTGAGATACAATGGCTTAAAGCCTCTTCCACAGTTTGTACCGAAAAAGGCTGACAACACCAGCTGTACCAATTTTTCAGAAATTAAACATTTCTGATTTCCCCACCAAAGGTCCTAAGACTCAATTTGGAGATCTCTTTCTTCATGGAGAAGCTGTTGGGAGCTGTGACCAAAGGTGAAAGTCTTTAATTTCTAAAGATCACTGCTGCTGGTAAAATAATGCCAGCTATAATTTTTGGAAGTTAAAGATTTCCTCTTGTCCTGTGTCCCTCCACCAACTTCCCCACAGCAAAAGGGATCCCTAGGGATCTTGATACCTTTGTAGGTATATGTGTGCGATCAGGAATTTTTACTTCTAAAAAATCACTGTGCCTCCCTATTAAAATTCCTTGCTTGACAGCCAAGTAAAAGCTTGCCAGAACACAAAGGTCTTTGCCTGTTCATGAAAGCATCGCTAAGATGGAGCCAGGCCAGTCAAAGGGAGTTCTGTAGTACAAGAGCAGCCAACAAAAATGTGAACAGACCTCACATCAGGTGCCTTTCAAAACTTGTACAGTGGTGCCTCACTAGACGATGATAATCCGTTCCACTGAAATCACTGTTTAGTGAAATCATTGTCTAGCGAAAAGCATTTCCCCATTGGAATGCATTGAAACCTGTTTAGTGCGTTCCAATGGGGAAGAATTGGCGTTGTCTAGCCAAGATCGGCCGTAGGAAAGTCGCTTTGCAAACCGCCGATCAGCTGTTTAAATCGCTGTCTTGCGAGCGCGGAGGGAGCTGTCAAAATCGTCTAGCGAAAAACAGTTTGTGAAGCAGGGACCAAACATTGTCCAGCTAAATTCCCCCATAGGAATCACTGTTTTGCGAATCGCTATAGCGATCGCAAAAAGTCGATGTCTAGCGAAAAAACTGTTATGCGGGCTAACTGTCTAGCAAGGCACCACTGTAATTTAGGATTGTAGCAGATCCGGCTTTGCTGTAAATACCATATGGAACTTGTTCCCATTTGGCTCCTGTCGTTAGCAGAAGTAGCTGAATTAACCAGAAATCAAAAGCTTGCTCTGGTGTCAGAAACCTTTGTGCCAATTTGTTATTCATAAATGAAACAGGATTTTTAGGTCAAGAACGAACTGTGGTTTAAAATGTTCCTTGTGAAATAAAATGTATGTCATACCTTTTCATTTCTGCATAGCATAGCTGCTCACTGTAGCAGGACCAGGTTACGTTAAGCTGAGCAGTAATAAACAACCCATGTATACTAGCATACAGCTCATTCACAGTAAGCAGTATAAAGACTAATGTGCTCATAATAAACTTAATTCTAACAAAATTCTGTACTTGCAGTTCAGGTAGCAGAACACACTGTTCAGCAGTTCTCAACTGTGCTTTATACATGTAGCAGTGCAGTTTAATTCTTCATTTTGCTGAAGTATTAAGTATTTTTTTCAGTGAATACTCTATTCCTGCCATCTTTGAAAATTAAGTGTAACCTATTTCACTTTTATGAACTTTGAATAGCTGTTTCCAGCTCAGTTTTTATTTTTAAATCCTGATCAACATTTTGCATTTTTAGTTAAAGTTAGAATTGTAATTTGCATGTATATTTTTATCATAGTTCATAGTTTCCCTAATGAAAATAGTCATATAATTTTAGAAAAGGATAACCATTACATATTAAAGTTTGTAATGGTTGTAAGTTGCTGACAGCTTTTGATAGGTCTTCCATTGTTATGTTAGTGGAAAATTTAGGATACTAGGGCTGCACTCTTCAGAATACATCTGATCTAGTTTCATAAAATGTGTATATCGGATTGTTGTACTGGTCGGTCTTAAGAGGATGTGGACTTGAAATGTTGTTGCTGAAGTATTAAGTATTGGGACTTTTTAAAAGGAGATGGGACTTTTTATAAACAGCTTTAGATTCAAATTTCAGTTAATGTTTTCTCCTTTTTTCCCCTTCTAGCTTGAAGATCTCACCCAAGACCTCACCATTTCTCATTTAAGTGGTGATGCTGATTACTTAGAGGATGTTGCATGAGTACAGAGCAGAAATCATCATTTGTTGCATTGTGAGCCTTTGTAGACTATATTTTAAGACAATCACTCTGCTGAAATGTCCCCTCCCAAATTGTGCCTTGTGTTTCAAAGGGAGAAAAACAACCACCAACGAATCTGGAGAGGGGAATAGAGCTTCTAAACTTGCAAGGAGTAGGGAAAAATGCTCTTGCTATCTTGTTCAGCTAAACCTTTCATGCAAGATATTGGATAATTCCCTGGAAGAAATCTGTTGCAGGCAACAGACATGAATAATTTGTAGTGGAGGAGATCAGCAAAGCAGATGAAGAGTGAAAATCAGAATTTAATATTATAGTTAACGTCTGACTTTTTGCTGAAGAAAACAGGATGATTCAGTATTTGAACTTGTTCTTCTGAGACCCAATTGTAAGTATTGGTTTTCAGTACAATTTCTCTTTCATAACTATAGAAGTTACTTCATTGGTCAGGGGATCTTCAAAAAGGATTTATTAGGATGCCTATCCTGAGGCATATGAAAATACACTAGTGTCAGAACTAAGAATCCCCCCATGGTTTCTAGTAATTTGGTCCCTTGTTGCAACATAGGTGCTTAGTTCTTTGTACCCAAGGTCACAAGGTACTTCTGAAAATTGCAGCTGGAATATGAGCCTTAACTTTAAACTTATTTTTATATATTTAAACATTTGTTACTCTAAGCTAGCCCTTTGTTTAATTTAATGAAAACTGCAAATGGTTATTAGCATGAGTTTTTTTCTTTGAAACAGCTTAATACAGAATAAAAATACTGTTGCAAGAGTGGCTGTTAAAAGTTTGGGAATGTTCTGTGATATGAATCTTTCATTTAAAATAATATTGAGTGTATGTGTGTGTGTCATTTTTTAAAAAAATATGGGATAGCATTTAGTCTGATTCTGTGCATCACAACCACATCTTTTTAAAAAACTTAAATATATAAAAAGAGGAAACATCTAAAGCTCCTTATCTTCAGTTCATGTAAAGTAGGGCTATAGAACTTCCAGTCTTCCAGATGTTGTTGGGCCCCAGCTCCCATTAGCCCTACCCAGTGTGGTCATTGGCCAGAAATTATAGGCATTGTAATCCCCTTTACAAATGAGACATCATCCTTATTTTACAGTGGTGCCCCGCATGACAATGACACTGCTAAACAACAAATCCGCAGGACAATGACTTTTTGTGATCGCTATAGCAATTTGCAAAACAGTGATTTCAATGGGGGATTTTCACTTCACGACAATTAGGTCTGTGTTTCGCGAACCATTTGTTCGCAAGACAATTTTTCCAGCTGATTGTCGGGTTCCTAAAATGTCTGCCCTGTGTTTTCCGGACCCATGCTTTGCAGGGCAGCCATTTTAACAACTGATCGGCGCTCGGAAAATGGCTTCCCTATGGGCGATCTTCGCTGGATGACCAGGTATTTTCCCCATTGGAACGCATTAAATGGGTTTCAGTGCATTCCAATGGGGAATTGTTTTTCGCATGATGACGATTTCGCTTAACAGCGATTTCAGGGGAACAGATTATCGTCGTCATGCGGGGCACCACTGTATTTTTAAAAGACCTGGATGTGTTCAATTGTGCAGGATTGCAGACAGGGTACAGCCTACCAAAGACTGAAAACACAAAAGCAGTTGTCAGTATGAGGGGAAACAGCTGTAACAGTTGATGAACTCAAGAGCAGCCCCAGCCACCAATACAGTGGAAATTGCTTGGGAAAGTGGCAACAGAGGTTCTTCTTCATGGCCCCTGTGAATCACACCCTGGGCGATTCGCACCTGCGTGGAGCCTCATCAGAAGATTCTAGAGCTTCTATGGTAGCAATAAACACACTAGAATATGCCCCTCCCCACTCATATAAGTATCCTGGCATCAAGTGTCCCCTTTCAGTTTCTTTCAAATGCCTCATTGAGCGCCTCACTGCTTCTGTGACTAAAAGAGAAAGAGAGCTTATTTTTGATTCCTTCCTGTTATCAATCTTTTTTCTTTTAAACTATTAGATCAAACTCATTATCAGGGATTTTTCCTTTCCCCTTTCACTGCTTCTGTGACTAAAAGAGAAAGAGAGCTTATTTTTGATTCCTTCCTGTTATCAATCTTTTTTCTTTTAAACTATTAGATCAAACTCATTATCAGAGATTTTTCCTTTCCCCTCGCTCGCCCTCCTGCTGCAACACCCCCTCTTCAATCATCGGTTTTTTTCATCAATTTTTTTCCTCCTTTTCATGGCCCCTTTGGGCCCATTTAAGCACTGTGTTGTCTTTGATAATAAGATCCCACTTTCTGATGGACATGCTAAATGCCTTTTGTGTTTGAGAGAACATCAAACCTCCTCCTGTACCCACTGCAAAAATTTCTAAGCCCGGAGTTCTTCGGTCTTGCCTCTTGAGGCTAAAACTCCAACTTTGGGAACAATCCTTATAACCAGTTCAAATGGCCTACCTCCCTGTAGGGCCACTTCCCAAACCAAAGCATGGAAAAAGCTGTTACTGAATCATCGAAACAACGTCCATGGGCAACACCAGCTCATTCCGATTCTCCATCTGCATCGTCTAAGACCTCAGAGACACAGAAATCGAAACCCTCGATACTGAAGTCCTCGTCTTTGAAGACAGCTTCTAAATGTCAGAGACCTACTGAAGCTGCTCCAGCCTGTTTCTCCTAAATGAGCTAAACATTCTAAGCCTACAGACATCCCACTACAACCACAACAACTCTCCGAATCAATTTTGGTCAAATCTCCCTCAGATGATGACAGACCTTGTCCCATCAACCCTGTTCTCAGTCTCCAGAATGGGATGATAGAGTCGACCGACTAATGTTCGCTCTTCCCAGTCCACAACCTTCCATTCCTTCCAGCAGTCCTTTGGTTATTCCATCGCCCGAGGATTCCCATCCCGAACGGCTCAACACAGTTCTAAATTCGATGCTCTCAGATAGCCCACCAATCCCTAACCAGAACCGTCGACATCAACAATCTCAGCAGCTCGCTTCATTGCATGTGGTTCAAACTCACGCTCAGCACATGCATCAGGTTGCCATTTTCCCCAACCAGTGCTCTGCTCAACAAACTGCACCAACTAGTCGACCAGGTGTTTTCCCGGTTTGATAATACCATCTAATAGTTAGCCTACCTCTCAACAACCGTCGGTGTCGAAGCGGTCACATCACCGAGAGGTGGCTATACCTCAACCTGCTCCCCACTTGTTATTGAAAAAAACTCAGACGGTTGAGCAGATTTCATCCACACATGAGGCTTTTGCAGCCCCAGCCTCCCGATACTTTCCTACTACAATAGATGACAGAAATCACTCTTCATGCACGGCATCGCCCATGCCCGTTTATTCAACTGCTGTGCTATCACATCACAGAGACACAGGTTCTGATATTGAGAATCCTTGATATCCATCCTGGTCCATGGATACACACTCCATTCCACTACAGCAACACAGTTCCTGTCTTCTGGTAAATCCAAGTCATTGACACCAAGCTCAACATTAAGGTCCATCCCTACCAATCAAGATCCGTCGATGCTCAACCACTATTTTTTGATGTCAGCGATCCTCGACATTGGCTGATGGACATGCCGCCTCCATCTCATAACCAGCAATACTATGTTGATCAACAGTCCATCAACTCCAGATGCAACCTCGATGACTCTGACCATAGATCTCAGCCTCAGACTCTATAGGTATTACTTACCTCTCCAGAGTCAGACATTGTAGATACTGACTTGCTGTCACTGGCAGAGGATTTCCAGGATGCCCAACTTATTATTCACATGGCTAAATCCCTTGATCTGCAAATCCACAAACCATCGACAAGACCAGTTGATCATCTATATGATCCAATCTCTTAAAATACAACCACTCCAGTACACATAGCAATGTTGCCATCAATACTGTACAAGGATCCTGGACAAAACCAGCTTCCTCCCATACCATGTCTAAGTGGATTGATAACCTCTATAAAATCCATGACCCAGAACCATTTTCCTCCAAAAACAACCAACTCCAAATTCTATATTTGTCGAAGCCTCTCAATTGAGATCTCGACACCGACAATCTCTCATACCACCAGATAAAGATAGCCGACGAATAGACTACATGAGTAGAGGGCTTTACTCTTCCACAGTCTTCACCATGCGAGTCACTAATTATCAAGGAGCCATGGGAGCTTACCAACACTTCATCTGGGACAACATGTCCACCTTTATTAAATCCCTGCCAGAGGATAAAAAGATACTAGCTCAAACCTTCCAACAAGAAGGTCTGTCTGCTGCTAAACAACAGATGCTTTCCGCCTGCCACACTGAAGACACTACAGCCAACTCCATGGCCACTTCAGTAACCCTACGCCATTTTTCCTGGCTCAGAACAGTCAGCTTAGCTGAAAATGCTCGGGCACGTGTCGAAGACCTCCCCTTCAATGGAGCAGGTCTTTTTCATGCTGAAACTGACGATATACTAGAGGACATACAAAAAAAAAGTTGAGCAGCCAGACATTGGGGAGTTTACCCTTCCTACCAGCAATGTCCTCAGGAAAATCAATGGAAATGACTCTATAACTCGTACCAGAGGTTCCAACGAGACCCTCCACGATAAACCTCTTAGAATCCATACTTCAAAAAACAAAGAGCCAAAACCCGGCAACAGCCTGCCACTAGGTGGAATGACTGGAAACCCAAACACCATGTTTGACGTTCCTTTGACCGAGATTGCCACCCACCCCACCAACCCTGCCCTCTGGAAACATCTACATGGGAATCCATCACCACAGATTCCTGGGTATTCTACATCATCAAAAATGGCTACCGCATCCACTTCTTCCAACTTTCTCCGACAGCACATGTCGTTACTCCTCTGTCACAATCTCTGGAAGAAGAAATAACAAATTTACTTCTCAAAGATGCCATACAACCCATCAAAACAACACCAGGTTTTTCTCTCGCTATTTCACAGTCCCCAAGAAAGACAGGAGCCTTTGCCCTATTCTAGATGTAAGATTATTAAACAACTACATTGTCACCACAAAATTCTGGATGGTTACTCTAGAATCAGTTCTTCCCTTCGAAAAACGACTGGTTCACCGTCATAGACCTAAGAGATGCTTACTTTCATATTGCAATGCATATTGCACAAAGAAAATTGTTTTGTTTCCAATTTGGATCACAAGCATACCAATTCAGAAGACTCCCATTCGGCCTTGCAACAGCTCCGAGAACGTTCACCAAGTGCATGGCGCCGATAGCAACCTACCACAGACTTCAAAACATTCTTGTCTTTCCGTATATCAACGACTGGCGCCTTGTAGCACACTCCAGTCACAAAGCTTGCTCTTCTTTGTGATCTTGGTCTAATTATCAATGAACAGAAATCAAAATTAAAATTTACAAGGACTATACATTACATAGGCGCACTCATAGACTCTACACAAGCTTGCACGTTCCTCCCTGCAAAATCTCTTCATCTTATTTTGCAGCTTCACTCTGCATGCCTTGATAACTGCCTTAACGGTGCAATGAGTTCTAGGCACCATGGCCTCTATGACGACAGTTGTACAGCATGTGCATCTCAAAATGATATCCCTCCAATTCTGGTTTCTGGCCCTATTCGATCCACTAACAGACTCTCCCCACACTCTCCTAAAAGTGACTCCAGAACTGGCATCTCAACTTCAGTGGTGGCATTCCCATACCAACCTTTCTATTGGGTGACTTGCAACAACCTCACCTGCGAATACAAGTCACTACCAATGCCACGGCATCGCCCATGCCCGTTTATTCAACTGCTGTGC